CGTGAGGGCTGTAGTGCTTTGCGCCAGCAATGACTACCAACCATGGTCAAGTAGTGTCTCTGCAGCGCAAAAAGATGGTATTATTCCATATCGGTTACCGTTGGAACGTTATGTGAGGTACCTTCATACTCGCACTTTTGTAGTGCTCTTGGCAGCTCCTTTGATGGTAAAAATGTGCAGATTGTTGTAGATTTGAGGGAATGAAGAAAGTGCTCCCACTCAACTCGTCTTCCTCTATACTCCGAGCTTATTTTCGAGGTGAGGATATTGGCTCTGCAGTTCGTAATGTAACCGCTCATTTACCGAAAGTTGAACATACCAGCAAAAAAGACGAAAGACAACTTTTTGAAGTGAGTTTTTAAAAGTTTTACACTTAACCCTGTTATAATATTAATTATGAATTCATTTTCAGCGTTACAAGGTTATCATCCGAGAAGCAGCGGTGAAAGCGGAAGCTCGTCGTCATTCAAGTTGTATAAAGACCAAGAGCTCTGTTGAGCCTAAAAAGCCAAAAGTGCACCGTTATTCTAGAGAAGAACGAAGAAGAATACGAGAAGAGTTGACTGGATCGAGTTTGTAATACAAATACTTTTTCTGTCGTTTGTTTATTAGTATTTTTGTTGTTGTAAATTATTGAAGTCGGTTGTTTGCTATGACTGAAATTTTTTGAGTCTCCCACCCTATATATGATGAAAGATTTACGGGTATGTATGGAAGTTTTTTGATGTATTTAGGTTCTGTGTACAAATTCTTGTATCTAAAGTTATACATTACTTTGAACATTTACCCTTCAAGATCAAGCGGGAGGCAACTATGGTAGTTGTCGTTGCAAAAGTCTATACGGGTTTTGCATCTGGTCAGATTTTTTTCTAATCAACTAAGGCACTTACCATGCGCTATCAAATGACATTCACAAACTCATGCGAACACAAAAAATTTTTTCCAAAGAGTACATAAGAGCGAGACGATTGCTCACCCTGAACAGTCTGGCATACCCTGC